GATTGGGTGACTACATCTATGTCCGTCAACCTTTTGCCAAAACCCATAATACTTTAGCCACAACCCGTAATCTGTTAGCCTCGACACACAAAGCATGGAAATATTCTGAGCTCGACGAATGTTGAAACATACTAATGTCTACAAATGTTGATGCTGTAAAGCTTGGTTAAGAAATGAGAAGGCGCTCGCATGCTGCACCACATGTGGATTGGAGAGAGTCTAAACGATGTGCCTGTTTTTGTCAACCCAATTGGCACATCTCGTACAGCTTCGGTGTTTCCGTATAATATGCGATACTCCTGTGGGTAGCAAGTAACAAATGTAACAGAAATGATATATGATACCCAACCAGGTCGAAACAGCTGTCGTCCAGTGCTTCCTAGCTTTTCAGTTCACGCTTCATTTACTATATACACGGCAAGTTTCTCCTTTGAAATGGTATACTGTTTTGCATTTACAAGGACTGACAAGAATTAAAAAGTGGCACAAAAAAGTGCCGTATTTTCACCTAAAGTGAAATCCTTTTAAACAGTTCGAAACTTATAAAGCACGATCACCAAATACCTCTTCTTTATTAATCTATTTTCCACCAAGCTTTAGATGAACCCCGTATTTTTGGAGCCCCGACCATTGTAATTATGTCTAATGTTGCCGCCTTAATAAACTGATGATAGTAATGGGGAATCTATTTTTTGTAAATTGTGTCTATTATCCTCGGCCTGTTAATCTATCCACATCCGAAGCAGATAGTTCACTTTAAGCGGTGCACATTAAAAACTGGTTAATTGAAAATAGTGAAGCAATATGAGTTGTGCCAAATTGCTTGACGATACGGGCACCTCGGTTAAACCATTACGACGATCAGCTGCGCAGCATTCGACAATCACCACACATTCTCATTTCTTAATATCAAAATTTGTAGAACATAAAATGTTTCAACATTTGCTGACCTCAGATTATATTCCGATACTTTTTGATCTGACTCGTCTGCAGCGACATGACTCAAGCTTGTGCGTCGAGGCTAAATGACTACGGGTCGAGGCTAAAAGACTGCGGGTTTTGGCTAAAGCTCGATGCAAAAAGGTGTAGACAGAAGACACCATTTCTATGCGATTCCATACTACACAAGTGATGTTTCTAATTACTATCCCCCGGCTTTCATTGTTCGGATTTTCCATAAAATATTCATACCTAAACAGCTCAATAACTTGATACGGTGAACTTAACGCACATAGTTGAAAAACAGGAATCCATTGAGAATATCAACTGAAGCCAAGCACTATTTCACCAGTCCTCAGAAAGTAAGTTTACGCGGGCGAGAACTAATGGTGTAGTCCAAACGGCAGATCGATTACTCAGTGTCGCCTTGGTTACCCCGTAAACAACAACAACATCGTTGGCCATCATGCATGTAGTGTGTTATCAAAAGCGTTCAATTTGTCTGTTGGACGCAAACTCGGACACATTGCAATGGAGTTAGAAATTGGACCACAACAAATTTATCATACAGAGAAGGAGAGAAAGACCAGATACAACAACAGAGCCAATTTGTAGCGAGATCAAACCAAGTGAACAGGTCAGAATTAAGGTAATGTGGTTGTTGGTTGTACGATTGCGACACATTTCAAAACAACTTGGTTTACAAATCGCACACACACACACACTTGCCGTTGCTGCAACTGTGTGTGAAACAGATCGGTCAAAACACGAGACGGACGGGCGTTTTGTAACCGGAACCCGTATACACAGTGGACTGAGTTAGCACTGAATGATTTTTGAATGTAAGGAACCGAGCGAAATAAGTTCGTTCGTGTACAAGTCGCACTACTGTATTCAATCGAGAATTGAGATTGATGAAATTCTGCGGGGCTATCATAAGTGAAAACACGATTTCCCATTTTGATGAGAAAATTCCAGCCTATTGCTGGTTATTTTTGTCAACAGTAAATATATATAGTGGAATCTGTAAGCATGGGCAGGGTGCCTGATTGGGTGGAAACAGAGACCGTCTGCATGCATGCCTACACACTGTATCCCTTCTTTTTTTTATTACACACCAGTGTGTGATGAACATCAAACGGGGCGAACCTCATAGTCACGAAGACCGTCTGTTCCGTGACGGTAACCGGCAACCTAAGCTCCAGGACTTGGAGTGGCGAAACACATAGGGCCCGGCTATGTTAGTCGTGGTATTGAACGGGACGACATCAAAGCTGCCTACCACCAAAGTTGAGGGGCGGTGGCGGTGGCGGGGCTCCAACCTCGGACCATCGAGTCCAAAGCATCCTTGTGACAGCGATTAAACCACTGCGCCACCACCACCGGTGATACATGTGTTCTAGGACGAAAGACAGCTGAATGATTGCCTAAAAAAGATACTCGAGAGCTGTTTCGTTCGGGTTAGTTCCCGACACCAACGAGTCCCGGTGAGCCCCTGCGCTCAATCCAAAATAAAATGACCGGGTGTTTGAGAGAAATGAATGGAATCTTGGGGAATGAAATGACTTATTCTGAAACATAACTCATCTTATTTTGTAGATACATTTCAGTTTCCCTAGTTTCATACGTGTATATGGAGAGTATTTATTCCGATTTTAATCTACCACTGCAATGTTCTTAGTTCCTGGCGTATAACCGTCGGGAGTTGGGTGACCTTGAGTGTCGTGATAAAATTTGTAGTTGTTTAGAAATTTATAGCTCAAAAAGTGAAAAATATTCCATACAAAAGCAGTGTGGAAGTTCATTGTTTCAACCATATGATTGCTATTTTGATGAGAATGTCGATTCTGGTCAATAGACGCATTCTGAAGTGCCAGAAAAATCAAACAAGGGCAAAATAGAACATCGGAAAAATGACAGTACATTATCTGCATGATGCTTTTGAGCCATTTTTATAAACTAATTCCTGTGGCCTTTTTATTGTACAACCGATGCCCCCCCCCCACAACCGTCGTCGGAATGGAGAAACCATACAATACATACAATACGTACAATTTAATAGCATTCGACCAATAGAAGCAAAGACATAAGTGGATATCATATATCAGATTTGTTGCCTCTGATGTGCAGGGCAATATCACATTCAATCTACCATGGACAAATGTGATGAAACTCAGAGTACTATTGCACGAGTGTGGTCAATATCTGTAAACCGTCCGCTTTGCTCAAAAATGCTTTTATTCTCAACTGGAACGATATTGTTTACGAATGAGTTAATCAGATGAATGCATTTCCACGCTCACCTCAAAACTCTTACTTCCGTGTTGTATTTTTCCCACTGTCAGACACTTTCCTCATAGCGCTTTAGGAAAAAAACGGGCAATTCCCACACCAATTTCCCCAGTCAGGAGTACACCACTTGAACAAAACTATAATAATAGGAAAAAGTAAAAAGTACAGAATTGGATTTGACCATATGATGAATATCGTCGCGTACGGAGCAACGGAAGCATGAAGTAGATATCCGGGGAGAAGTGGATAGCTGTTTCGATTTGGTTGAGACTCATCAGCAACGAATCCATCTAACTGCGGATTGAACCCCGCTTAAATCCCGGGTAGGACACAAGCATACTATTGGCCGCTCCATTTCCCCGGGTAGCTGATCAGACCATTTTCCATTTTGCACATGTGCCATACATAGCACAACTCATTCGCGCGCATCTTAACACTAGCCTCCACGGTTCTGAATCGGTTGGAAGCATTTCAAACTAACTATCCACCGGCACTTAACACACAGTTACCGTGTGTAGTGATGGTGTGGGATAATTGCTATTGATCTGACCTGATCACACTTCGGACTTCACCCTGAGGCACAATCCTCTCAGTTCAACCCAACACGCGGGTCGACTGCGTCCGAGTGTACGGTTGACCGGATTCACCCGGTCAACTGAGGATTGCGCGCGAAGGTGAAGTCCGAAGGATAGTACTATTCAACAATCAATAACCATTTGTAAAAATCTCGATCATTTTCAAATGTTCGATACACATCACGGATGTGAACGAGACACTCTGGTGTCGCTCGCATTTGAAGGAATTAGTCTACCTGGGGATAGCACCCAAAATCCACAGAAAGAAAATGTACTCGTAGAATTATGAAATCAGATTCTTCAAATTAAACTCATTCCGCAGTTTTACGCTCAATCTTCCAGGATTTATATGCAATCGATTGAACACAATTCAAGTAACCAGAAGCTGAGAAGCATAATATTTTACGGCAAGACCCAGTTACGCAACAACCCGAGATCCGATTCATTCATCAATTTGAATGAGGATTCAGTAAGTCCAGCGTGTCATTTCGGATACAATTTTGGCGGTTGACACTGAGCACATTGGTTCTCTTGGATTCTAAACGGGAAATCCTCAACGTCAATTTAATGAGTGCTAAAGACTTTGCAGTGGGAGAGAAAATCCCAAATAAATGCTCTTTACTATAAACTATCGATATGCAAGTATGATGATGAAAACTAAATTGAGGGGGGGGAGATCGTGTCGTTTTGGCTTGTGATTGAGCAACGCCTGTGTCGACAACACTCCGGTGAATTTCTATCAGTTTGAACGTCACTGAGGGTTACCTGACGCATGTTTCATTGGACAAATTATTCAAAATCGGTTCTCGTAGAACCGAATTCCATTACATCTGTTCGCCCCGAGCAATTGGCAATTTGCCAACGTTTCATCACCAGCCGAGGTGACATCATCAAACAATGATGATATGCTTCGCATGCTATCGCTCGGTTATGTACCATTTTTCTCATTATTTGTAGGATATTATATTGTCGTGCATCACCTACGTCGAACCGGAATCCGTTTACCAAACCAAAAACAAAAATTTGTTGAAAAGTCGCAGAATTAGTGGTCAGTGGTTTAACTCGTCCGCATGGATATCACAGTCACCATAGAAGCTAGCCCTGACTCGTCGGTGGAGTAAACTGAAAACATGCAATGGGTTATTATATATATATATATATATTTGAATATAAAAAATAAAATAAATGAGTCATCTAGAAACGTCTGGGTTATTTGGATATACCTCGTGTAAGAAAAACACTCATTACAGCACAAATAATCATCAACCATGATGTCATCACCTCCCAAACCCTGGTGAACTCACCGTCAGTTTCAATCCCAACTCTTTTGAGGTGACCACTCCTCGACTGAGTTCGATCTCGGCCACAGATCGCGTGCATCTTTCTGTACGAAAACTGTACTCCTGCTCAGTGTCCGTGTTGTTACGAAATGTGGTAGAGAAGAGTGAATGTGATTTGGGCACCGGTGAGACTCGATTATCACTGTACTCCGGTTCCCCATGTGTGACCACAATATCGTCCCAGATCAGGTGTAAGTCCAACTGATTCAAATTTAACTTTTTCTGTTTCCGTGTGGCCACTTGCACAAATGTGTTGATAGCCCATGCCTTCACATCCGCCTGTATATCGTACAATTCCGCTTCTTGTTTGGACGGAGCTTGTACCGCAGGCTGTGCAGTGGTCATTTCAAAACGTGGAACGGTCTATTTTGTGTGTTTTTGTAGCCGCGCTTTTTCAGTACGCAAAAAACGAGCCGCGTGTGAGACTGACCGACTGACCGACCGACCGAAGAAGCACTGACTGACCAAACGAACGAGCAATCTGATGTGATCCGGTCCAACGTCGAATGTGTGTGTGTGTGTGTGTGTGTGTGTGCGTGCATGCTGCGCAGGGTTGACGCACGGGAGCAAGCATATAGTCTCGGTCATTCGACATCATGCAATGCGATTTCCTGATTGGTCGATTGTGGCCAATCAGAATGTGTTGCGTCTGATTGCCCTACTGCGTTACCGAGTTGGTCTACATACGCTGCGTGCACATACACGTGTGGTATGGGGGCAGTGTATCCGGGCTGGGGGCGACAACAGATCATCGTATATGTGGGCGAATGCATAGACAGAGAGATAGGTAGGATACCAACCCCGCGATCAGGGATAGTATGTGTATATGTAATCAATAGAGGTTGGAAAATCTCCGGCAAGCATTGATTTTGAACGCGCTAGCAATTCACCGTTGAGCTAGTCCGGTACTGTTTTGATTCACAAAAGGTCTTTTCAGGCTTATAAACTGCTAACCAATTAAAGACCAGTCAATGTTTTTTCATCGACATTTTGCCTTCGCCACGATGAGGGTTCCCCTGTTGTGCTCATGTCTAAATTAAACGTTCCATCACTTTGGTTGATTGTTGGACAGCAAAATCACTAACCGAGAGAGAAATAGTTTGATTACTAATAAACCGCGAACCTTGAGTAGATCAGGTCAATTCACCGCACCAATCGGTGGCGGCAGATTCGACAATTGTGCTCTTTTAGTTGCTATTTCTCCGTGCGATCAAAGATGACAGAACAGAGAACAAATGAAACACGGAGTTCACACGTGTTGTACAAGGAAGATGATATTATCGAACTAGTGGCTATTTACCGTACTCTCGAAATCCGGTTCAAACGGAAAACTGGTTGAACGAATGAATATTGATTAATCCAAATAGATAGAAACACTTCATTATTTGACCATTTTGAGATTTGTCGGTAATTAAGTGACAACTGAAATCAGCTTTTTCAATCATTGCGAAGAAATTACAGTTATGTTATAATAATTTATTTGGTCGATATTTCTCTGGAATCTTTGGTCTTACAAAACATATCATAGAATGAGCAATAACGGTGATTATTAGACTGTTAACAAAGAGATTAACATTCCTACATGTGACGGAAGAAATTTATTTGTATGCACTAAAAGACTTATTCGTGATATGCCTTTCACGATGTTAGATGAGCAGTTGTCACCTCTCTGGCCCTTTCAAACATGCTCATCTTAATCGATAAAACATCTGATCCGATCATGGAGTGAGAACCTTGTAAATTGCTGGGAGTTCTGATATTCGGCCAGTCGTATGAAGGAACGAAGTAAATTGTGAACTGAAAGCTTGAAATTCTGCGTGTGTGTACGAATGAGGAATCGAATTTCCCAACCGAATTCCCAACATTCTCGTCGAGCGACCGCACAAATTTTTGTCTAGCTTTGTCGCAACGGGACAGTAATCGTCTATGATTACATAATTCTGACCGATCTTCTGCAATCGTTTCGACACAGTTTACTCGCGATTGAACGCAATTGGTTGGATTGGTCATATGGTTTTTCCGGGACAGCCAAAAAGCAACAAGACCGTATTAGTGCCAACAAACTGGAAACTAAATCAAACTCTCGCCGGATATTGATTTTGAATTCTGGTTGAGTTCAGTTCAGTTCTTATAACCATTAACCATGCATCTTTGTGCACCGGTTTTGGTTGCTGTTTTTTGGTTGCCCATTTGGATAAAAAAGCTGAATGAAGATTGGAATGTTGAGAGCAAATTCAAGTGAAAGATAGCGAATTTATATGGACCGGTGTTACAAAACCAATGAGTAGATGCACGAACGTCACTGTTTACGACACTTAGCCATGCCATTCAGTGCCACCATCGGTGACCATGATCTCGAGGTCCCCATCCAGGGAACCTAACGAAACCTATGTGACCTACACTCCTGGTTAGAGTTTTTCTACCCTAATGCCACGTGTTCGTTTGACCACCCTGGACCAATCGCTACCTGACGGCAAACATCGCTCACCGGGGCAACCTATCTGCTGACATGCGTAGCACATACCCCAACTAGCGTAATCAATGAAGGTCAACTACCTGCTCCAGTGAACTACCGCGATTACCTAAAACTCTGCGCCAAACTTCAGCATTGCTTGTCCGGTTACCCCATGAGACTCGTGCAATGCGACGCAGACAGTGGTGTTCGAACACCGACAATCTATTTTTATCCTGTTCCCGTAATGGCCAAGTCTCTGTGCCGTGCAATCCTGGTTGAAGCAGATTGATCGCACAATTTCACCGGGATGAGCTATGGAAACCCTTGTGACCTCTGTCTTCAAACAACTTCAGTTCGATCTGTGTCCCAAACACCAATCGGAGCTTTTATTTAAAAAAANNNAACAATATTTTTTTTTAAACTCCTGCGTCATCCATACAAAGTGTATTTTTTTGCTAAATCAGGTGTTCAATTAGGCTCATGCACTGCTGACTGCACTGACACGCCGATCTGGTCAGCACCATCTCCGTTTGGTATGCCTCCATCATCTGTCATCTGTGTTCGAATGAAAAACAAAACGATTCGTGGCCAATTCGATTCACTCGAACCGCAGCCTCGTGTAATCAAAACGATCATATATTTCCAGTAGGACTCGAGTGAACGAATAATCCTGATTCAAAAACACTACTTTCCCTGTAGCGGATAGAGAGCATCTCAGATAACTGTGAGAAAGGCAATGCTTTAGTAGAGCGCTAATAGAAGAACAGTGAATATACTCTGGCGAGGAGAACGTCACTCCTTTTAGTTATGGTTTTTCGAATGGTACGGATCGCCGGTTTCCTAATGTCAACAAGCAACGCACAAGCAAGCCACACAACTGACTTGAGACGAGAGTTTAAAGGAACTGGAAACAAAATGTATTTAAATGGTGAATGTTTGGGTTCGCCCATTTGATCGTTCAGAGGCACCAGGTACTCTTGATGGTTTTCGGTGTGGGTTTCACTCCTTGGGAGATTGTTGATTCCCCACTGTTTAAATGTATTTTAAATGCAATGGAAATGTTTATGATAACCAACACAGAACACTGGACAGCAGCTGTTTCGTCCTGTTTGGAACTGTTCAGCAGTGAAACCCCTACCAAACATCATCAACAGTGCCTGGTGCTTGTGAAGACGCCGAATGGGCTAACCCAAACATTC